ACACAAAAAACGAAGAGACACAGTTGTAGTAGGAAAGTTCCATGAACAGATAGGAGTCGAGCTAAGAGCAAGATGGAGAAAGAAGGTTTCTTACTGTTTTACATGGTTGATGAGGTGGACCTGGCTGCAACCAACAAGGGCTCACGCCGACGGTGAAGTGACTGTCTAAGTTCGGCTAAAAAACCGAGGTTTTGTCGAGGGGGGGGGGGGTACATGTGAGAATTTGGACTTTGAACGTCTGCGGCATTCTGCACCCTTTGACCTCGATGGCAACGGGCTGCCAAATTCCTTTTTAATGTTGATTTCTATTTCTCTCCCGATCTCTTGCTTAGCTCAGCTCTTAATCTATTACATAGTTTCATTTATTTATCCTCAGTTTGTACAAAGTACATTACATATGGTGATGCAATGATACATGTCAATCATGCGTATAATTATTTATAGATGTGTTTCTATATACAACATGACAATCTTGTTATAAGTAGTATACAATATAGGGTTGTTGGTTTAAATTACCATATATACCTTAAATTAGGTTTAGTATTAATTCTGATTATTTCAATCAAATTAGAGAATTTCTACGAATATAACGGTAGAAGGTATATATTGGAAAAAATTGGCAACAGCGATATAAACTTTCTCATCAGTGATACCATCTTCTATATCGATAAAACATTTACACCCCTGAAGACAAAACTTGAAGAAGTGGTGCCCATCAGCCTATATATCGGGATTCAGACATTAACTCTCAAAGTTTTTATTATTTTTTATCCCTAGTACACATTGTACAGACCATGATAATCACGGTGAGTAGCTAAACGACTGCTTTTGCTATAAGTACACCACATGTCTACACATGTTAAAAGCAGTTCGACTTTGCACTTACAAATGTCCAAAAGCCCCGTTTGATTACTTGCACTCGCTGGTGGGGTTGGACTTTTTCAAGAATCGGGTGCCATTGGAGCATTTTTTTTAATTAGAAAAAATGTGCTCAATGCGGGATTCGATCCCGGGTCATAGCGGTCGAAAACCAATGGTTTAGACTATCCTTCCACCGACCCCCCACTCTTAAAGTTATTACAGTGATCTTTATTGAAGACATACGAAATAACCAATTGTGAACAAAATACACTCATAGACAAAGGAAGTTGTACCTTTTAGCATGTGATATAGGGATTCAGACAATAACTCTGAAAGATATTACAATGATCTTTATTGAAGACACACGAGATAACCAATTAGGAACAAATTTGCCTCTGTTTCCTTAAAAATAACAGACGATAGGCAACATAAAATACTTTTTACTTAAGGTTTGTACATGAATATAGCTTTTATATTATTTGCTAAAGCGCAATTTATAATATTTATAATTTTTTAGTAATTCGAGATAACTAAATGCAGTTTTCAGCCCAGTTTTAACATCATTTTTGTTATAGCTAAAACATATATTGTAATTATCAATTTAATTCGCGCTCTGTGCTGATTATTAAATCTTAGATGATCGAAATTTTAATGAATCGATAGAATTGAATTATTCGTATGTAATGCTATTATTCATTAGCTCCATCTGTGTTTCAGCAAAACATAAACTTTTAATTAATTGTGAAAAATAGTACAATTTTGTACTTGGATCAGGTAGATAAATTAAGAAAAAAAGGCATTTCCTGATTGTGCAACTTGAAATTGCTGATGGCTTGCGCCATCAATCGGAATTAATATCAACTAATTTTTAATTATCCTAGAATTGGTCAAATAGCCAAATGGCCAAACTTGCAGTTGCACGATAAGGAAATGCCTTTTTTCTTAATTTTAATTCTTTGTAAAAAAAATAATAGTGCAAATGTGATATTTACTGGGATAAGGTTCATAAATTGAAAAAATAAAAAAAGGCATCTCTCCTTATAGAGCAACTGGGGTTGCACGATAAGGAGTTGCCTTTTTTATTTTTTCAATTTTAATTCTTTGTTGGTATTTCTTTGTTTCCAATGAAAGTAAATTTCAAACCATTTCTAACGTGAATGATTCCTTAAAAATAAATATATAAAAAAAAACAATTTTCTATTGCTCTTACTGCAATGATAAAATAATGGAAGGGCCTGACTTATCTGTGGTAAACCCTTCCAGTATTTCAGTAAGGGCAGTAAAATAATTGTCTTATTTCAAAAAAATCCTACGCGCGTGTTAAAAATATTATGAAAAAAGGCATCTCCTTATCGTGCAACTGAAAGTTGCTGATGGCTTGCGCCATTTATCGGAATAAATATGAACTATTCTCGTTGATTTTTAATTATTTCAGAATTGGCCAAATACCCATTCTTAATTAATCAAGAAAAGCTAACCACGGACACGTTTCGGGCTGTTGGCCCTCATCAGCGTAGTGCAAGCTGTACCTCAACGACCAAAAAACTGGTCATTAAGGCCTCCTGAAAAATCATGAAATGGGTAGTTAAGGCCAGAATTGAGTGAGAACGCGACACAATGTGAAAAACATGGCATCTGCTCGGTAAGCAGAACACTGTGTTAAAAATAGTTCAAATTTCTTTTAACAGGTTACACGCTAATGCATCATTTTAATGAAAATGAAGTTTGGAATTTAATTGAATTCATTTATATTGAGATATTTCTAAATATTCATTGCAATCGAACTTGGATAATTCAAAGCCTAAGAAACCAAAAAAAAAAAAAAAAACTTTGGAATTATCCAAAAATTCGAATTCAAAACGTTTTGAACAAAAGGGACCAAGATAAATATTCAAATTAAAGACGTTTTTGAATTAAAGTCATTCGAATTATCCAACAACGACAAAATATTTATTAAGACCTCTTTGTCTTATACAGATTCTCCAAGCAGAAATGTAGGATACATGCAGGAAAAAAGTAATAGTACCTCAATGGTAATATTGTGTAACAAAGTATTTATTATTTCATTAGCAGAGTATTATTTTTATGTTGATATTTTTCTACTCTGTACACTTCCCTCTTTTGATTATCTTTTGTTTATCATTCATCGTTTTTGCCTGCAATATATTGCTGTCTTATCTCGAAGTTGGTCTTCCCTAATTTTCCACATGACATTTTGGTGGAGATGCTGGGTAAATCAGGGAAGACAAACTGAAGATCGCCGAAAAGACCTAGAGGCCATGAGTACTGTGATCTACATTTTCAGAGACTGGCTCCAGGATTCCACCGCCGTGTCAAAGCCAAGACTTCCCTCCAAGATGACGATGTTCCTATAGACGATACGACGACAAAGCCACTCTTCACGCCGCAAGAAAAAGGACGCAAAGTTACTAAGGACAATGTTCCAAGACTTTCGATGGAATCCTTGGCAGAAGCACGTCAGATCCATGTCAGTATCTACAATAATTGCTAGCTGTTGGGTCACAGCTCCCATATGGACGAATCTATGTAACAAAGTATTTATTATTTTATTAGCAGAGTATTATTTTTTATGTTTATATTTTACTATACTCTGTACACTTCCTTCTTTTGCTTATCTTTTGTTTATTACTCATAGTTATTTTTTGCCTAAAATAAATTGCTGTCTCATCTCGAAGTTGGTCTTCACTGATTTTTCACGTGGTAATATGATAATTTATATACAGGAGAAATTATATAAAGACAATAAAGCTAATAGATTAGTCTGGGTAAATTGGAGGAAAAGATATTTATTATACATACGTTCGAATTACCCCAAGTTCTACAGTAATAGTATTTTAAGACAATCTATCTGATTATCAGCTAAGTCAACAATGAGGGAAAATTTAATTAATTTCTTTAGCTTTAAAAATATCTGAAGAAATATCTATTATTATTTATTTTAAAAAAGATAAACATAATTTAAATCTTAAAATATTAAGTCTGAATTTGATATTAAATAAATTTTCATTGTTTTCATTTTAGGATTGTATACACCACTGAAATATTCCATTAAGTTTTTATTAATATATTATTATTAATAAATATATCTCTCTCAACTTTTATTATTTTTCACATATATATAATTCTTAAAATAGAGCAATCCATACTTAAATAATTAGAAAATAAAAAAGCATATATTGGAACGAATAAAATATTTATTTGCCAATATTTCGGTTGGTTTAACGCCAACCTTTATCGAAGAATTACATTTTTGTATAAACAAACTCAGCGCTGCATACTGTTTTAATATCACATTTCCTAAAAATTATTTCAACTGTCAGCATCTTTGCTCTGGCAGCATTAAGTGTTGCAATTGCACGAAACACCCATATTTTAAAAATAAAAATCAAGATCATAAAACCAAACTCCAAAGACTGCCCGATATATGCTAAACAAATTGAGTATACGATACAAAAAACTGCCTACACAACTACTGAACCACAATATAAAAATGAATAATACGCTCGGAGCAGTAAACAAACGGGGCACGTACTTAGATACCATGCAAATTAATAAAGACAAAATTGTCCAACAAAACACCAGAAAAAGCATTGCATGTATTAATGAACTCCGTGCTTCCAAAGACTTTACGGAGGCTGATATAATTTTAATACAGGAACCATATACAATAAATGAGGAAGTAATATACTCATGGTCCGCGAAAAAGTTTCAGCTGGAAAACTGCCGAAATGTCAATACAGCAATCATTATAAATAATGCATCTCTCCAGACTAAACTAATCAAAAAATATACAAACACATTTGCAACAACAATTATGATTTATACCTCAACTAAAAAAGTCATAATCTCAAATATTTATATACAGCCAAACTCTATGAAAAGCGAACATACAATATTCTTAAGACAATTAAGTAATGAGTACGAAGATTCACCAGTGGTCATATGTGGAGACTTCAACGCAAGAGATCCACTATGGTATGACTCGAAGAAAAACTACAATGGTCATAAACTGACACCACAAATAGACGATTTAAGCTTAACGATACATAATGTCAAAAATCTAACATGCCGAAATGCGAGCATAATCGATTTAATGTTAACAAACAGACCGGCAATTAGAACTTTTAGCCTAGTGGACATGGCATCTGCCCGGTAAGCGGAACACTGTGGGTTCGATTCCCATTCCTGGACACAAAGCTATGGAATTCACGGCCATTATAACAATCGACATCAGTGGAGCATTTGATAATGCATGGTGGCCAATGGTGCTAAAAGGAATCGATGAAGATAATGTAAATGCATCTATTGTTAAACTTTTCAAGTCATATTTCGATAATAGAAAAATAAGATACAGATACAGATCAATTGAAGTTCAAAAAGCATTGGATGCCCGCAGGGAGGACCTATTTCCCCTACAATATGGAATATAATCATGAACGATTTACTATGCAAATATACTGAGCCGAATAGTGAAATCATCGGATACGCAGATGATATAACGGTATGCTGGAATAAAAACCTAATAGAACTTGAAAATACAATAGAAAGCATAATGAGAAAAATAACAAATTGTTGTGGAAGCAGCAAATTAAGAATATCCAAGGAGAAAACGAAGGTATTGCCTTTGTTCAATAATAAAAAGTTTACAATAACTTCGAATAACAATACCATTATTCCGGTAGATAGGGTAAAAATTTGGGAATAACCTTCAAAAAACACAGAAATAAGAACAAACTTGATTTTATGCCGCACATTAATGATATTATCACTAAAACAACCAGAGCAAGTGTATATCTATTAGGACTAACAAAGAAGGCCTGGGGTCTCGACAGCAAAAGGAGAATTGTATTGTACAAAACACTATTTAGAAATACAATAACATACGGATCTACGATATGGTACCAATTCATCCCAAAAAAAAAAGCCAAAGACAAATTGAACTCGCTACAGTATAAAATTCTCAAACATGGTATACAAGCCTACAATACGACATCGTCAAATTGTGCGCATATCATTGCTAGAACACCAAAGCTCACACAATTCATTGAATCAAATATATTGAAAATAAATATAGATTACAACCGAGTTGTCCCAGCAAAAAGAATTATAATATCTAACTTTATAAACCAGAAACAACAGGAATACTACGAAGCGACCAATGAAAATTTCAAAAGTTTTTTCAGTGGCCCGAAAATTCCTAATTATATCAAACCTAACTTCTATAATGTGCAATTCTTCACTGGACATAGCGACTTCAACTCATACCTGTTCAAAATTGGCAAAGCTGAATCACCTGGATGCTCGTTTGGAGGCGAAGAACAGAACCCCAGACACCTATTAACTGACTGCCCGCTGACCGCTGACCTTAGGGAACTAAATCAACTTCCCTTAACAAATATGCAACATCTGGTCTACACTAAGGACATACACCAAAGATACAACAAATTCTGCAGAATGTACTTAACTAAATAAGTGACTACGAATGTAATCAATTTGCATACTGATATGTAAATATGTATATATCCCTTTAAACTACTTTTTTTTTCATTCAAATGTATATATTTCACACGCAAATATCCGATTTGTGGATATAGCGTGTATTCTGCAATTGCTAAATAAATTAAATAAACTGTGATATTATAACACTATGACAGGTCTGCCTTTCCTGGCGTCGCCTTCACTTGCTCTCTCGCCTTTTCTAAGGTGACATCCAACATGTCTCGTCTTTTTGTGTAATTCATTTCACGCCTGAAACCACACTAAACAATGTGGCCACAACGACTGCAACTAACATGTCACACTACAGTCATCCTACAGGATAACCTACACCACTACATATATATACAAATACTCCTCTGGTAATTAAAATATTTTTCGCGCAACTGAGACTTCTATGAATGTTCTTTCCAGAAAATCGTTCAAACTGTACACTGATTGTCCTTCAACTTGTGATCTATGTAACAGCAGAATACAAGATGGAATTATGCATATAGAGAGAATAGAGGAAAATTCTTGGAGTATAAATCACCAACTACCCGGGTTGTACAGCCACAATCTAGAAGTCTAGTCATGGAGAGAGCTGCGGTGAACCAGGTAACCAGATATTTCCAGTCCGCGAGGCAGGAAGTAGAGACTGGACTGAAGTCTTGTACTCCAAGCATATGATATTTATTATGCTAAAGGCATCTCTTTATCGTACAACTGAAAGTTTCTGATGGCTTGCGCCATCTATCGGGATAAATATCAACTATACCCGTTGATTTTTAATTATTCCAGAATTGGCCAAATACCCATTCCTTATTGATCAAGAAAAGTTAACCACGGACGCGTTTCGGGCTGTCGGACCTCATCATCGTGGTGTAAGCTGTTCCTCAACGACCAAAAATATTTATCCCGATAGCTGGCGCAAGCCATCAGCAACTTTCAGTTGGACGATAAGGAAATGCCGTTTTAATCATTTATGCACCTTATCCAAGTACAATATCATATTTGTACTATTTTTCACACATAATATTAAGTTGCTTTTTCTTGGATAAATATAGAAAAGAAATCTTTGGCGACTTATCCTTGTCTCAATCTGATAGTCAACAAATATATAACTGGATGAATACAATGAAGGTCTTCTCTTGGTTTATATAAATTCTACAAGACCGCAGTCACCGTTCGGAGGAGATTAATAGAATCGCCGAATATCGTGGTCCATTTGGACGAGGAAAGTGAAGACTAGAGCGCGGCTGATTCCACACTAGCATGTTCAGTGATACGCTAACTTATGTACAGTGTGGCCACTGGATATGCGTCGGACCTGAAGGCTGTTGTTGGGTGCAACTACATTTCTAAGACAATAGTCATATACACTGGTCCAATATAAAATCGACTTACATTAAAATAATATTATTCCCATGGTATGGCTTCAATATTACAAAATGATAAATAATACTATTGTGATTTATACTATTCAACGTCCAATATATCCCTCGGTTTATACTTTTGATCATACTAAATTTGAACGTCTTCAATATATATTGCATAGAATTATATGAAATTCGGTATCAAATCTGGAGCTTTAGGAGGCAATGTCAAGGCAATGGTCATTCACATGGCGGACATGGACAAGAGAGGAGAACAGTGCGATGTAATCAACATGCGGTGGGGACATTGATGGACTGGTTCTACGTGGCTGGTGTTATTGATCTGGGCTGCTTTGGCTGTCTAGTTGGTAGACTGTTGTCTACACATGTAGTACCATGGTGGGTAGTGACTGCTTGTACTGTAAGTACACCACATGTCTGCACATGTAGTACCAGGCCATGGTGGGTAGTGACTGCTTATACTGTAAGTACACTACATGTCTACACATGTAGTACCAGGCCATGGTGGGTAGAAGATTGTGACTTTTTGTACTATAAGTACACCACTTGTCTACACATGTAGTACCAGGCCATGGTGGGTAGAAATTTGTGACTGCTTATACTGTAAGTAGACTACATGTCTACACATGTAGTACCAGGCCATGGTGGGTAGAAGATTGTGACTTTTTGTACTATAAGTACACCACTTGTCTACACATGTAGTACCAGGCCATGGTGGGTAGAAATTTGTGACTGCTTATACTGTAAGTAGACTACATGTCTACACATGTAGTACCAGGCCATGGTGGGTAGAAGATTGTGACTTTTTGTACTGTAAGTACACCACGTGTCTACACATGTAGTACCAGGCCATGGTAGATAGAAGATTGTGACCTTTTGTACTGTAAGTACACCACATGTCTACACATGTAGTACCAGGCCATGGTGGGTAGAAATTTGTGACTGTTTATACTGTAAGTACACCACATGTCTACACATGTAGTACCAGGCCATGGTAGATAGAAGATTGTGACTTTTTGTACTGTAAATACACCACATGTCTAAACATGTAGTACCAGGCCATGGTGGGTAGAAGTTTGTGACTGTTTATACTGTAAGACTCCACATGTCTACACTCGGCCGTGCGGCCACGCGTCGCGCGAGCTCCGTGTTTTTCGCCTCTGGCAGGCGGTGAAATGCTTTTAGGCATGCCGATTTCGGCATCGCCAGGGAACTCGGGATCTGCTGGACAAGAGCCTGGAAGGCCCAGCATCCCATCTCCTACTGGTGGGAGGATTTCAAGCGAAAACGGAAATGAGAAAATAATCTCAAAAGAAAACTCAGAAAATCGAGTTCATGCAAATCCACCGACAGGCGTCAGAAATGCAAATCTGGCAGCCGCGCGCGGTGACGTCACGACCGGCTCGGCCGCAGCTACGTCATCTAATGGCGCTGCCCGTGTCCTGGGAAGTTGGGCGGACTCCATCGAGGACCAAGGCCCTGGAGAGGACGACGATTTCACCGTCATCAAGAGTAAGAAAAGGCGCCGCGACTCGCCGGGTTCTCCTGCAGCGGCTGCACCTTCCTCTGGCACCAGAGGCGCAGGGGCCACTCGCCGGCCGCGATCGTCCACGGGTTGGGCACCGCGGGCGGAGGAGGTCAGGACCACTAGGGCGCATATCGCGGAGGCCAGGGCGCGGCAGGCGTCCTCAACAGAAGACCACTGCGTCTATATAGAGCGCAGCCCTGAACTGGAGCCCTACCACTACATGAGGGCCCTTGATAGAATGCTCGGAGGGACCAGGGAGGTCTTCCAGATGACCAAGATGAACGGTCACTTCCTGGTGGGACTGGCCAACAGAGGCCTGGCCGAGCGCCTCGTCAACGAGGGCCTCGAGGTGGAGGGAACTCTCCACAGGGCCTTCCCGTTCCGCAAGAGGGCGGAGAGAATTAGGTGGGCAACCTCCCCTTCTTCGTGGGGGATGCAGCCGTCATCAGCGCCCTTTCACCTTTCGGGCGAGTAACATCTATCGCCCCCAAGCTGATGAAAGCTGGCCCGTACATCTATAACGACGGCCGCCGAGAGGCGTTCATCATCCTCCGCGAAGAAATGACCATCGAGAGGCTGCCCACCCGCCTCGACATCTTGATCAAGGGCGAGGCCTGGCCGGCGTACCTGTCCTCTGGGATCAGGTGCTCCAGGTGCCGTGGCCAAGGACATCGCAGGGCCAACTGCCCCCTGCCCGCAGGGCGAACCACCGAACCTGGACCGGCCACACCCACCTCTCCCACAAGCGTCCCACCAGCGACTGCGCCCAGGCTGCCTCAGCAGCCATCTGCCCA